GGCCTGCCAGGTTTCAAAGGGTGGGAAATAGCTTCTTGGAAGGACTTCAATTGTGACTATTTTTGCATTGTTTCTGAGGTGGAGAGAGGTGTCCTGATTTCCCAAAGTTCACACAGTTAATAAGCAACTAGACTCTCACACACTGCTGGTAGATGGCACAGCTACCTTGGAGAACAGTTGGACATTTTTTGAGTTGTCTTCTTATTATCAAATTTTAAGAGTTCTTTATATATTCTGGATGCAAGTTTTTCATCTGACATATGTGTTGTGCATATTTTCTCCCAGTTCTTGGCTTGCGTTTTCGTCCTCTTGATGGCATTTTTTCAAAGAACAAACGTTTTTCATTTTAATGAAGTCCAATTTACCAATTATTTTCTTTTATGTCTTGTGCACTTGGTGCTCTGTTTAAGGTTGAATGAGTGAATGCGAAGTGGTTGAGAAGAGTTAAAGTGTAGCTCTAGCAGTTTAAAGGTATAGCCTGAAGTGGTCCAAATGTTTTGTTTAAAAACAAATCTTGCATTCGATTTAACAAAATAACCATCCTTACCTTAACATAAAATATAATGATTTACAGAGAGGTGAATTTATCTGATGTGCCAGGATAAAAACCCACATGGATTTCATGGCACAGGGCTGTAAACTTTTAGAACATAAGAACTCTAGGTTGGGAATCATAATATTGAATGGCCACTTGCCTTAGAAACTAACATTATTATTCATAATGATTCCAGTACAAATAAAAGCAATAAGGCTACAATTAAGAGGGCAATTGCTATTGTAGTTTGTATATAATATACACACACATATATGTATACATATAACAAAGTCTGTCTTAATCTTTTCTGACTATTGACTATATTATCAGCTTACTATGTAGATTCAACTATTCAACTGCTTAACTATGTCTAAGCTACTAATAAACCTTCCTGAATGAATAGCAGATGAACAACTGAATATAAATGAAAACAGATGCCTCAAAGAAGAGGATCCAGAATTGTCATCAACTCTTCATGATCACTACATGTTTTCTCTAACTAGCTCATATGCCCACAGCACATTGCCAAAGTTTATTGACTTCTTCCAAAATTTCTGTATGAAATTATGATGATGATCTCATAGAGTTCAGGATTACTGACTAGAGAGCACGCCTTCCCAGGATGTTTTTTCAAAGGAGCTGGTACCCCCAGGGGTGCTGGGGGAGGGAGGCACACATGCATTCGAGGACATTACTAGCCTAACCTCTGCTGTGTGATCTCAGAATCTTCCAAAGTTTGACTCCTTTCAAATCTGAAAATCTGGAATGTTTCCATGATCCAGAGACACAAGGCGAGCAGAAAAGGATATCCACTGACCCTGTATTTGGTGTCCACATTCTTGTGCCTTTAAGATATATTTTTAAAAATTGAAATATCAATATTGCTATGAATAAACATACACACAATAAAGGTATTCATGACACATGAGGAAAGATGGGTTCTTCTACAATATAAAGCACATAAAATAACATAGAACGATGGTTTCTGCTCTGGAGACATTTGCTTTCAATTTAATATCTGTTTAAATATACATATAAAATGTTTAAGAAACAGTAATAGGTTAGATGGTAAATAACTGAATGTGACAGGTAGGACTAAAATATAGTACTGAGTTTTTACCTCATTGGACAAATCCTAGAAGACACAGCATTCACTATGTATCTTATTTCTGCACACACATAAGATTGATTTAACTATTTAAATAATCTCGTGTTCTCTAGCCCTGATTCCACCTTGTTTTCTCTGACAAAAACTGTTGATTTACAAAGACAGCTGAACAGAGGGAATATATGTTCAGATACATATGCATAGAACTGCCAGAACACACACAGATGGCGGGTGTGAGGGGAGTGGTGATGGTGAAGGAGGGGTGGAGTTGTGAGAAGCACCCGTAATTATTATTATTTTGCATAGAATCAGATATATGAGTTAAAACATATGCCTATTTTAATCGCTGATAAAATTATAGCTAATTTTGATAAAAAATGTCCAACTCAAAATTTAATTCCAGGCAGCTGTTCACCAAACAATCATAACTATTTTATCTGTGCTTTTTATGTACTTATTTTTCTGATTGATTGTGCTAGTTATAGTAAACATTTACTTGAACTCTGTCATGTATCACAACATGTGACTAGAATAAAGACAAGTTGTTAGGGTTTAGTACCAAAAGTATTTGAAAATCTTAAGTGCTCATTTCTTCCTTTATGATGATTTCTGGTTTTATCTCATTCATGCCATTGGTTCTATAATCAAGTAGCTCACTAGGATTGCAATACAGTTATTCAAGTTTATGTATGATGTAGGAATATATTATTGCATAAAATCTTAAAACACAAGATTTCTTTGAAAAATCAGTGAATTTAGAAGCAGTAAATTTTAAGTTATGTATATTTGGAAGTGTTCTTAAATCCTGAAGGAATGTGTAGCATTAATATACACGACTGGATTTTTTTTTAAAGATTAAAATTTACTTTATTTTTTCCCAGTTTAAAATATAATAAATAGTTTTACCTCCCAAAGACAACATCTTTTAATACAAGTTCTTGTCTAGGATTTCTTGCGATGCATTTTTACTTAACTGTGACCATACTCTATACAGTTTATATCCTGATTTTAAACTTACAATCAAACATAAGTTTTTCCTAGAATATTACCAAAATTTCATGCATGTAATTAAAAAATCCAACCGACTATGTATAACTACTTTAGTTAACACCACGATGTTGTTCATTTGTTTGCTGTTATAAAAATGCTCTTGTGAACACCTTATGAAACTTGCACAAATCTCAGATTATTTCTTTTACTTAAAGTATCAGTCAGGGTTCAACCAGAGAAGGGGAACTCCGAGGAGATACACAGTAAGAGATTCATTGCAAAGAACGGGCTCACCTGATTCTGGGGGCAGCTGGGCAAGTGTGAAATCTGTTGGGAAGAGTGCTAGAAAGGACCAGCCAGAACTCTCTGGAACGGGCTGAAGCTGCTGTTCTCCAGCAGGATTTCTTCTTCTAAGAAGACTCAGCTGCATGCCAGGCCTTTTCACTGATTGAATAAGGCCCACTCTTATTCAGTAGGATAATCTTGACCTGCAGTCAATTGATTATGGACTTTAATCACATCTAAAAAAATACCTTCACAGCAACACCGACATAAATGTTTGTGAATAACAGAACTGTAGTTTAGCCAAGTGGGCTCATCAAAAGGCAATCAGGGTTAAATTTTCAGAAGTAGAATTACTGAGTCAACAAGAATGAATTACAAAAAAATCTGGTACATATATTCAAATTCCTTTTCTAAAAGGTCATCACAATTTTCTTTGCTTTCCCACTATATCGCTGTGTTTCCTTGGGGGAAGCACCAGGCTGCCTACCCAGTATACTATGGCTCAGCACAACAGTTGAGAGTGCCCCGAACATAAAAAAGTTCTAGCGTCTCAAGATAAGCACGTTTCCTGGCAATGTCTAAGGACCCTGCTTTCCCAGGACACTTTCTCCACGTCAGCATCTAGCCCCTCACCCCTGCCCCTGCAACCAAGCACTGTATGAGCCTCATTGAGCAACTCACCAGATCTATTTATAGGTGGGGGTATAAATTCCTATGTATTATTTACTCTTTATAGGAAATGTGTTAGGCATTATGGGGGGAGATTGAAGCCTTAACCGTGTCCTCAAGACGCCTAAAATTAATACAGCAATTTTCAAATAAACATTTGGCGTTATGTTCACGGTAAATAAAGTTCATTTTGTTACATTTCTCTAGGAAATAGGGCTAAATCATGTCTTGAAAATCTACACAATTGTACATAAATGTCAGACCTTTGTGAAGATCCTTGTTGTTTCAGTGGGTCTGTGCAGAGGTCCATATAATTTTATCTTTAGAAAGCTTATCGTTAAGCAGAGGTTAGTAGAGTGATAAATTGGATAGATTGGGGGTAAGCTTATTTTTTTAGTTAGATTCTTAGTTATCCTTTGTACTATTTTTTAATACCTGGACAAATAATCTAATCTCCCTAAGCCTCTGCTTTCTCACTTATAAAATGAAGATAATATTACCTCTCTTGTGTGGTTATATGAGGATTAAATGAGTCAGTACATATAAAACGAGTGGTAGACATGCGGCACATGATGTATTTGGATGCATGTGTGTGTATGAGTAGCCCCCCCACCACCCCATATTTTCTGCTTCCTTTCTGTCCCCCAGACCCAACCTTTCAAGCAATTCAGGGGCAGGACAGAAAGTGGAACTGGCTTGAATATCGTTCTTTTATTTCTTCAAAGCCTCAAACCTTCAGAGGATTTAGGTTTTGAAGAAAGCAGGAAAAGGGGAGGGGGGAGGGGCAGTGTAATTTAAAGACAGAGCTAGAGTGCCTTGGAAAACCGTCAAGGAACAATCGTTCCTCCAGACTGCGCAGAGGGTCCCAAAGCCGAGGGAGAGAAGGAGGCGCTTGCTGATCAGAGGAGCAGCGAGATCTGCATCCTCAGTGGCAGTGCCTGGAAAGCTGGAAGGGCTCCCAAAGGGGGGCCATGGCAGAGCCGCTGGCACCGGGCCCTTACACAATGTCACAGTAGATTCCTAAGGAGGCGTAAGCACATCTGCCACAGCTGAAGGAGCCATAATAACAGGGTCAAAGGAACACTGGTAATTGCAAGGATGGTTGCAGATGGGCGGAAGCCCTGATGTCGTTTCATGGGACCCCAGGACCAGAGCACAACTCTGAGTTGGGCAGGGACAGGCTCTCACAGAAGGACTGATAGGTTTCACAGTTGCCCAATGGGATAGGGCTTGGAAATCGAAATTAGGTTGATTTAAAAAATAAATAAATAAAGAGGTCTGACTTAGTTTGCTTAGCATAATAATCTCAAGATCCTTCCATGTTGTTGTAAATGGCATTATTTCATCTTATCTTATGGCAGAATAGTATTCCATTGTGTATATATACCACATCTTCTTTATCCAATCATTTATCGAAGGACACTTTGGTTGTTTCCATGTCTTGGCACTGAAAACAACAAAGGAACAAGACGAACAAATGAAAAAAACAAAAACTTATAAACACAGACAATAGTTTAGTGGTTACCAGAGGGTAACGGGGGAGTTGGGTGGTAGATGAGGGTAAAAGGGATCAAATATATGGTGATGGAAGGAAAACTGACTCTGGGTGGTGAACACACAATGTGATATATAGATGATGTATTACAGAATTGTACACCTGAAACCTATGTAAATTTACTAACAATTATCACCCCAATAAACTTTAACTAAAATAATAATAATAATAATAATAATAATAATAAAGAGGTGAGCTGCAACTTAACTTGTAAACCAACATTCACATCCCACACTCCTCAATCAAAAAGTATCCTTAATGACAACAATTTAGCTATCATTTATGTGGAAGAGAGTAGAAAAAGGAGCATTCTCTGGCTGGCATCTCAATACTTTCTGCTATCTTATGGGCCCTCCTTGATCAGTTCTATCTAATTTTAAGAATTTTGGATCTTTTCTTTCTACTGGTGTTTGCCTCCAAATAAGCTGAAAGTCCCTCTTATCCTCAAACAACAACCGCCAATTTCTCCTGATCCAACTATCCATCAAGTTCCTGTGTCTTTCCTTTTCTTCATGATCACATTTCTTAAGCGCATAGTCACGCTTGATGTGCCCACTTTCATTCCCATGCACTCCTCAGCTGATTACAGTTTGGCTTCCTTTCTCTCCATTGAGGGAAACTCTTTTTACTAGGAAGACAATGACTTCTGGCAGGCCAAGCCCAAACAATCTTTTTGTCCTGTGTCCTCTATAACCTTCAAGTAGCATTTGACAATGTATGCCATTGCTATGTGTGAAAAAGGCTTCTTTTAAAACTACTTTTTTGAGCAGTTTTAGGCTTATGACACATTTGAGAAGGAAGTACAGAGATTTCCCATATACTCCTATACAAGCAGAGCCTCCCCCGTGGTCAACATCCCCTACCAGAATAGTATTTTTTTTCTCTCTCTCTCTCTCTTTGTTTTTAACCAAGGACGAACCTACATTTAACCATCATGATCACCCAAAGTCCATAGTTTACATTAGGGTTCCCTCTTGGTATTATACATCCTATGGGCTGGACAACTGTATAGTGACATATATTTATCATCATAATATCACACAGAGTATTTGCACGGCTCTCAAAAGGAGGGCACAAAGCCGGCAATGTACAAGGGTGTATTTTTAAACTATCTATAAAGCAATATTGCTGGAAATAGAAGTCACACTACCTTTCCTTCTTGAGACCTACTCCAATAGTTTGTCTTCTACTATTTAGTTAATGCCCTTATTATGTTCCTATTCTCTTCGACTAAGGCTTACTCTGTCATTCCTCTTTCTTTCTTTTTCTCAATTGTCACATCCTAGAGGATGCTAAATCCTTTTGCTCCTACCTAAGAAATGTTTCTTAGCCATTCCTCTTCCTCCCAGTTTCTATTAGGATAGGACTATCTCATTTACATCACAACTAGAATATTTAATAATTTCTAATTGGTTTTCCTGTTACCAGACTTTCACAGTCTAGTGATATCTCACACTGTAAACCAAAGTCAATGATATGCGTATCTCTTCCATAAAGTTCTCTCTATTGTTTCCCATTCTTGTCTGTTATTGCCCTCAGGAAGAAATCAGAACACCTTTTATCAGGGTACCATCTCACAGGGGTCTCTGAATCCACAGAATTAGCACTCCTGGGGCTTATTGGACAAGCAAAGTCTTGGACCTTACCCTAGACCTACTGAAAGCAAAACTCTTGGCTCCAGTGATCTTGATTTTAGCAAGCCCTCCTCCAAGTGATTCTGTCTCTTATTAAAGCTGGAGAACCACTTCCTCACTGGTTAGAAGAGGCTTCTTGTTCTGGCTGATACCAGACTTTTGCAGCCTCTCCTGCATTTGCATTCCTCATGCATTTTATGTTCCTTTCTCATTGACCTCCTCCTAAAAATGCCAGACTTTAGGACTGTTCTTTCTGGTGGTGTGGAATACCACACTTGCATTTTTCTTTTCTTTTTTGGCAAATTGTTATTTCTTCAATGTCCATCTCAAATGCTCTGAGAATGCTGACCACCCTCAAGAAACATACTTGGTCTGTCCTCCATCAGCATTTTATTCATCTCTCTGTAATATCATTTACCATGTTACATTTTAATTTATATCTCTATATAATGTTTTCCTCCAAAGACTCTGAATTCCCTAAGTATATAGACTGTGTTTTGTTCGTCTATATCTACTTAATGCCTTACCTTGCTGTTTTGTTTGTCCTTTCTTTTTTTTCTCCCTCTTTGCACATAGGATTTAAGACAGTTGGAAAACATTTTTGAAATGAAGTTTTTCTATTAAGTACCGTAATGGTAATCAAGAACCTTGGCAATCATTACAGCTTTGTAAAGGTCTTCATCACATATCAGTGTAGTCCGTTTTCCATTGCTCTTTTTTCCACCTGTGTACATAAAATGACAGTAATTATTTGACAGGCAGCCTGATTTCTCTCATGCTTTTACCATATGTTGTTTCTATTCTTACTTTATACATGTGTCCCAGTGGGCCCCTTTATACAATTTCCTATGTGACCCCAAGATTTTGACAATAAGGTTTTAGTATTTCTTAGGTGATTTCTATCTACTGTTCAGAAATCCTATTGCTTTAGGTGCAGCTATTTCAATTCCCTCTCGTGGTTTTTTTGTTTTGTTTTTTAATCTGAGTTCCACTCTCAGGTGAAGGAACACCGTGTAGGTGAAGAGAAGGAATTGAGTGAAGGAAGCTCCAGTGTCACCACCTCAGGGTTTTGACCCTGTTTGATGGTCTCTTTTGCTAAAATATGGTTCTCTCTCCCTTTTCTCATATTTAATTCATTAAGATGATCATTGAAAAAAAAAAAAAGAGACCACTTTTCTCCAGAGAGTTCCTTGTGATCTTGTTTGCAAGAACTGCAATGGTGCCTCTGAATGGCCAAGGTGGTGCTGGGTGGCCTGTAGAGTGATGGAGAAAGTACAATCCCTCCTCTAAAGGAACTTAATAACCACAATCTCCCCATGAGGGGGATTTATTGGCATGTGTTCCCTGATAAGAAGCCTGGAGTTAGTTTACTCCATGTGAAAATGTATTACTTTACAACAAATGGAAGCTGCTATTTGCTATTTGCAGATAAGTTGGGGGTAGCTTTGCTACTATCACTATTGACTCACTATAAGTTTCTTCATGTTCCTACAGCTTGGAGCTAACACTATTTAGTAAATAATTTCACCAAAGCACCAAATTTAATTCAATAGCTTAAGAACTTAATGCAGTTTCAACTGGCAATTGAACTTTCACAGAGAGAATAATGTGCCTTTTTTTTCCAGAGAAATAAAGTTAAAGAATAAAGTCAATATAGATTATTTTAATTACCGATGAAGCAGGTTAAAATCTTTTTTGATTAATATCTAAAAAAATCTCAGCTAATAATTTTTGAGTGGACTTTTTATTTCATTACCAAGTATTTGATATTCCTTGATGACTTTCACAGATTTATTTTATATGATATGGAAAAAAAAACCACACTGCTAAGCCAGAAGCAAAGTGGCTTCTTAAATGTAATTTTCATTGTCATTGAAAGTGACAGATGTTTGACAAAACTCAGTGTTCACTCTGAACTATTACAGCAGTTTACTTTCCACCAGTAAGTACGATAATTCCAACTCAACACAATGGTTAATGTGAGAGTTTAGTTCATGAGCTAAATCTTTTAAACCCTTAACTATTCAATTTACTTTGTAAGGGGAAACCCGGGGTCAACCTGTAGTAGTTTCTTACAGAAAAGAAGCACAAATGTTATAATACTTTAAATTGTAGGTAAGTGAAAGACATAAAACTGATGTATTTCTGATGTTCCACTTCAAGATAATAACAATGGATCTATTCTTAAAGAAGTACATAGCACTGAAGCTCTGTGAGCCATAGCATCTACAAGGAGGATACATTTGGAGACCAGTTGCTTGAGGTGCTGATGTGTTGCCCATATGTCTCAATCCGCTGTAATGGGCCACTGAGGTCATATAATACATTGCGTTTTTCCCTGCAGGCTCTGAAAAATCCTCTTCCCTTCTGTGTCAAGGGCAGACAGAACCTCATCCTACAACAGGGCTCTTTACTTGAACTCCTTAGCATCTCCCAATGGCCAGAGGTTGTTAACAGCTGTCATAAATTTGTCATCTCTTTGCATAGCCAAATGTTTGCTCAACATTATGGTGTCTCTATTATCTATTCCATTGGTGTATCTATTATAATTATTCTGAAGCAAGAGGCTAATCAGCCTCAATCTGTACCTTAAAAAATAGAGGTAAGTGTAGGGCTTACTATAAAATTGCCTGGTGGGAAGGAAAGAGTATAGCAGTTTGTCTTCTACTGGAGAATTCCTGGGAAGGAGAATTTAGCCTTATATCATATTGTCTTTTCCTGCAGAGAAAAGAGGTAATCAAATCCAATGATACACAAAATCAACAACAGAATCTGGCTCTGATTTAGTTTTTCCTAGTTGTCCTCTCAAAAGTGTGCATCCTCTGAACACCCCAGGGAGTGCTGGCTGAGCCACTCAGAAAGGCAGTGAGCTCTGCCTTCTTTGCTGCAAGAAGGAAGGCTAAAACAGAAAGACCCAATATCTGGGTTTTATTATTTTTTTTCTAGACCCTTTCACTAATTTATCATTTTGAGTTGCAGCCAGATTCATGAACCCTTGCCAAAAAGTCTCCCTCATGAGAAGACTGGCTGTTAAGTTCCTTGTGGGGAGAAATGTATTTTCTCCATCATTTTATAGGCCATCTAACAACAATTTGGGCACTCATATGCATGTGGCATTCCTTGCAAACAAGATCATGAGGAACTCTCTTATCCTCCACCTAGTTTTCAGTGCTCGGTTACAAGGTTTGCAAGGCGTGATGAAAATAAAAGGCTGTTGATTTGAACACACACGCATATACACACAACACGCGCGTGTGCACACACACCCCTTCCTTCTTCCCTTCCTTCCTCCCTCCCTTCTTTCCTTCCTTCCTTCCTTCCTTCTTTTTTAAAATCCTGTTTAGCTAAATGGCTTTATTTAACTAACACCTTACAAGGATAGGTGGAGGGAGGGGCTACAAGATCCCTCTGGGGTCCAGATAGAAGGATAACAGTAAATGGACTTGGGAAAAAGAACTCCTGGGAAAGCCCCAAACAACACTAAGGGAAAAATGAAATTTTCTGATGTATGCGTACAAAACTGCATTTCACAACATTTTGCTAAAGGTTAATCCTGAGTGATGATTCTTCCAATGTTCATCTTGTTTTAATCCTGGTTCCTGAGAGTTTAAAAATATCAATAAAGCCACCTTTATTATAAGATCTATTTAAAGACACTTTTTCCTCTTATTTACATAACTGTAAAGTTAGCATAAAGTTATTATTAAATTAAACCCAAAAGTGTTTATTAAATGTGGGGACTGGTATTAACCTTGGGTATAGGCGAGGAGAAGTCCATTAATTTGTGTTGGTCTTAGAAGTACTTATTGTCTTTTCAGGGAGAAAATATTCACAAGAAATAATACAAAATAGTATATAGTCAAGTCTCAAAATGTGTATTCTAGATGTTCAGAAAATTGTGTTGACCGTTGGTTGCCATAGAAAGTCTCGTGAAACATGTGTGAGTAGGAGCCAGTAAAACTGAGTATTTTTACAGGCTTCACCCCTTACCTCCAGAGTCATCGTGGGAAAATTTCCTAACATTTTATTGCCAAAGAGCACTCATCTGTAAAGTGGGGACAAAGATATTTGTGAAGGGGATCAGGGTATGCCACCCCCAAATATGCCACTTTGGCATATTGATTATTTTGAGCTGAGAAACAGCAAGTGCACAGAGCCCTCTGCCTTACCTTTTCTACTTAAAAGTAGGGCATTAAGTTTCCCCCTTCCTGTACCAAGATGAGGAGAACAACCCTTATTACAAGCGATGGAGAGCTGGCACCAGAGGAGTCTACATAAACAAACTATACTAAGATAAACCTTACATTCTATTAGTTCTCCCAACATATTTTCATATATTTATTGGCCCCTGTTGAAACGGTCGATAAGCCCCTGAGTATAACCACTTGATTGAGTTTTTCACTTGTTTTCTGTGAAGCTCCCAAGCATGTCAAAATATTAACATCAATAAAAAATCATATGCCTTTTTTTCTTGTTAATCTGGCTTTTGTTAGTTTAATTCATAGGTTCCCAGTCACTGAGGCTAAGAGGATACAGCAAAAGATTTTCCTCCCACACTTGCTACGGATTAAGTGAGATAAACTTTTGAGAAGTCATTTGTTCCATCCTAATGATTTTCAACATGGCCACACCAGACTTGTCTCATTCAAATACAGACATAACGTAATACAGTTAGAAAATATCCTACCATTTGGTCCAGCGTTCTTCTCTGTAAACTATTCCTGCTCAGAAAACATGTTAATAAGTGCTGGGAGTGTATCAGCTAGTGACTTCAGAGGAAGGGGAAGCTGCTATGCATGAGGTAAGAGGAGGAATGTGCTGTTTTGCTGCTGAGGACAGGGTCCAAAATAGTGTGGGGGAGAAGAGGAGACACAAGCCAGCAAAACAGAAAAGCAGGTACTGCAGAGAAAAAGAACCAGGAAAGAAACTTCTGGAAGTAAGTGGTAAAACCACTTCTGGAGGTGAGAGGTAAAACCATTTGCCCAGGAGGTAAATGGTTTATATTGTCCTGTTCGCAAGTGATGTGTTTTTGCCCCCCACACAAGTGATGTGTTTCTGCCCCTCACCTCTCCAATCATCAGTAATCACATAATGATTACCAATGTTTTGGTTCAATTTCTGAGGAACACAATACAGGAGCTATTTTATATCCAGGTCTACATGAGGCAGCACCTAATCAGCATGTGTAGAATAAGAGCCCAAGAAGCACAGGAAGTCATAAAAGAGTAAGCTATCCAGAAATTAGCCAACAATCATGGAATAGCTCTGGACTTCTGAGGCAAATGGAAAGAGGTTCAATCCAGGGTTTATCTAGATCACCAAGGGTCAGATAAACTCCCATATGGAATATAACTTAAACCAATTTGTAAAGACGCCAAGAAAGGGTTCACCATGTTTTAAAGTCAGTTCCAACAGTGAGCAGTTATTTTTAACATCTAATGAAATTCTTCAGTTTAAATCCTTCATTTTAAACCAATAGTAACCCAAATCTTTTTTTGTTCAGCCATACTAATTCAGGCTTGACTTTTCCTAAATCAAATACATCCCCATGGATCGATTACTCTCACCTACATAGTCTTCAGGGAAGAAGAATAAAACTACTCTATCAGAGACCATGATGACACAATATTCTTTCAGAGGAGTCGCATCATAAATCTATTTTTGTACCCTTCTTCTCACACAGGTATTTTTAAAGTTATGATCCACAGTTCTGTTTTTTGCAACTTCAGCTACAGAGTCAAGTGTCATTTAAAAAAATTTTGCAGAAAAATTTCTTCCTTCATCCAGTGACAGTTTGTCTCATTTTGGCCATCTCCTCCCTTATTCTTTAACTGAGCTCTCCTAACTGAATTATGCTCCAGGTGCCCGATCCCTCCTCTGATTGTCTCTATAATTAAAACTGAGTGTATGGGACAAGCTCCCACTTAAAGCAAATCCAGACTGAGCCAGCTGCAATGGTATAAGTCTTATTGATGCAGGAAACTTTTACCTGTGTGACATAGTCATGTGATAACATTGCAATAAAATATTATACAACATCAGTGTCATCTAAATGCTCCATGACACTCTCAGAAGACACTTTAAAGGAAATACACAACATACCATGACCAATTCTTGCTCATATTAGATGGGTTTGGGGCAGTGAGGAGTCATTATGGAGCAAATATTTGAGTGAAAATATTTGAACAAACTGATGTTAAACACTCTAAGAACATAGCCTATAAAATGGATCCTTACATGTCAGTAAAATTATAAAATCAATTAACTGATCAATTATAAAATCAATTAATCAGTCAGTGCCCGTCCCGTGGAAGGCCTAGGTTAATTTATATTGTGTTAGGTCAGTGAAATTTTGAATGTCGTATGAAGGAAAAGTCCAGGTTTTCTCATTCTGTAAAACTGATGGAACGTTCACAAATAGAGGTATAGATGGGAGAACGGTTTTGTGCTCATGTTCATCAAGAATCTTTTCTTTTGGATTTTAATATAAACTCTCTCTCAATTTGGTAATAAGATTCAGTAAGAGGTAAAAGTGTTACCTGGAGTACACTTGTTCTTTATTTAAAAATAAAACTCAACTTTACATTGTGCACGTACGTCTCAAGATAATATGTGTATTAACAATATCAAACCTCTGAAAGTTCCTTAATATCATTAGTTTTTTTTTATCCTTTCC